AAGATAACGACATGCTGGAATTTGTGATATTTTTAATAATAATGAAAGAGTTTCTATTGTAGATAATAATGTTGAATATCTATTAAAATAAAAACAAAATAAAACATTATTTTATATAATGTTTTAAAAAAAATTGTCAAAGTTATTTTTTATTTTTTTTTATTTTTTTAAATTTTTTACCGTGCTTCAAGTAATTCTGCATCACGTGGAATATGATTACTAGTTCGAAATATATAATCAGTATTGATTTTTAATTTATCTATTTGACGTATAAATTCATTTAATAAATGACCATTTTCATTAAATTGTATAATAACATGATTCATTTTACTTAAATCAAGTAAACGAGAATGAAGATTATTTGAATCATCAACAATTTCTCGATCACAACATAATCTATTTTTAAATATAAAAACAATAAAATATATTATTAGAATTTAATCTAATGTAAACGTTAATATATTTTACTTAATTGTTTGTGTTGTTATTTGTTGATTATCATCATAATAATCTTCATTATAATCTTCAATAATAGAATCTAATTGTGTTGATTTAATAATTGATGAGGAATTTTTATTGATAAATGATGAATTTAAATCTTCTATATTAAGTTTTTCTATACTATCACCATAAATCAAATTCTTATTATTATAATCATATAATGGATCGACGATTTTAATAATACAGGAATTATCTATTTTATATTTATCATATTCATTTGATATTATTATTTCCGACAATAAATAAGATTCGTCTTTAATATTAATATTAATATCAATATTATTTTCTTTTTCAATTTCTTTTTTCAAAATATTTGAATATTTATCACATTTTTCAATGTGTTTATTATCTCTATTAACATTTGAATTAACTCTCTGTAAACTATAATAAACAAAAACAAAATTAATTTAAATATATGTTTATTTATTTAGTCATCATATATAATATATATATTATATGCTTTTTAACAATATTCTTAATGTTATCATTATTGACTCACATCGATTGATGATTA